TATGTCCTCCTGCCTCCATTTTCTTATCCTTATTCTAATAATATTCTCTTCTCTCAATTTTCCTAATCTATAGACAGTAGATGTAATTCCTGTCTATGTCCTCCTGCCTCCATTTTCTTATCCTTATTCTAATGTCATTCTCTTCTTGTTCTCAATCTTTACTCCTAATCTATAGACAGTAGATGTAATTCCTGCTCATGTCCCTCCATTTGCTCCATTTTTCTTATCCTTATTCTAATGTCATTCTCTCCATTTCTCTTATTCTAATTTTCTCTAATCTATAGACAGTAGATGTAATTCCTGTCTATGTCCTCCTGCCTCCATTTTCTTATCCTTATTCTAATGTATTCTCTACTCTCAATTTTCTAATCTATAGACAGTAGATGTAATTCCTGTCATGTCCTCCTGCCTCCATTTTCTTATCCTTATTCTAATGTCATTCTCTACTCTCAATTTTCCCAAATCTATAGACAGTAGATGTAATTCCTGTCTATGTCCTCTCCTGCCTCCATTTTCTTATCCTTATTCTAATGTCATTCTCTTCTCTCAATTTTCCCTAATCTATAGACAGTAGATGTAATTCCTGTCTATGTCCTCCTGCCTCCATTTTCTTATCCTTATTTTCTAATGTCATTCTCTACTGTCTATGTTCTCCTGCCTCAATTTTCCAATCTATAGACAGTAGATATAATTTCTGTCTATGCCCTCCTGCCTCCATTATCTTTTCCTTTTCTAATGTCATCTCAAATGTTCCTAAAATCTATAGACAGTAGATGTAATGTCATTCTCTCCATTTCTTATCCCCATTCTAATGTTTTCCAAATCTATAGACAGTAGATGTAATTCCTGTCTATGTCCTCCTGCCTCCATTTTCTTATCCTTATTCTAATGTCATTCTCTACTCTCAATTTTAATCTATAGACAGTAGATGTAATTCCTGTCTATGTCCTCCTGCCCATTTTCTTATCCTTATTCTAATGTCATTCTCTACTCTCAATTTTCCTTAATCTATAGACAGTAGATGTAATCTGTGTCTTTGTCCTCCTCGCCTCCATTTTCTTATCCTTATCTAATGTCATTCTCTCTCAATTTTTCCTAATCTATAGACAGTAGATGTAATTCCTGTCTATGTCCTCCTGCCTCCATTTTCTTATCCTTATTCTAGTGTCATTCTCTTCTCTCAATTTTCCTAATATATAGACAGTAGACAGTAGATGTCTAATTCCTGTTCTAATGTCATTCCTGCCCTCCATTTTTTCTTATCCTTATTTAATGTCCTCCTTCATTTCGCTCAATTTTCCTAATCTATAGACAGTAGATGTAATTCCTGTCCTCTTTGTCCTTTTGCCTCCATTTTCTTATCCTTATTCTAATGTCATTCTCTATCCTATTCTCATTCTTCCAATTTCCCTAATCTATAGACAGTAGATGTAATTCTGTCTATGTCCTCCTGCCTCCATTTTCTTATCCTTATTCTAATAATGTCATTCTCTCTCTCAATTTTCTAATCTATAGACAGTAGATGTAATTCCTGTCTATGTCCTCCTGCCTCCATTTTCTTATCCTTATTCTAATGTCATTTCTCTCTCAATTTTCCTAATCTATAGACAGTAGATGTAATTCCTGTCTTTGTCCTCCTGCCTCCATTTTCTTCATCCTTATTCTAATGTCATTCTGCCTTTTCTCGTTATTAAATGTCATTTCCTAATCTATAGACAGTAGATGTAATTCCTGTCTATGTCCACTTATTCTGTCATTCTCCTCCATTTTCTTATCCTTATTCTGATAATATTCATCTTCATGTCATTCTCTCAAATTTTTCCAAATCTATAGACAGTAGATGTAATTCCTGTCTATGTCCTCCTGCCTCCATTTTCTTATCCTAATGTCATTCTCCAAAACTGTATATGTAATTCTCCTGCTTTTTCCATTTTTTTATCCTCAATTCAATTTTCTTTTTTTTCTAAGACAGTAGTTTACTTCCTGTCTAATTCCTGTCTATGTCATTCTCCTCCTTCTAATCTATCCATTTTTTTTTATCCCTATTCTAATTCTCATTCTCTACTCTGAAATTTTCCTAATCTATAGACAGTAGATGTAATTCCTGTTCATGTCCACCTGCCATATTCTCCTTTTTTCTTACTCTAGAATTTTCTTATTCTGAAAATTTCTAATTGCCTCACTCTCAATGTTTTCTAATCTATAGACAGTAGATGTAATTCCTGTCTATGTCCTCCTGCCTCCATTTTTCTTATCCTTATTCTAATGTCATCTCTTCTCTCAATGTTCCTAATCTATAGACAGTAGATGTAATTCCTGTCTATGTCCTCCCTGCCTCCATTTTCTTATCCTTATTCTAATGTCATTCTCTACTCTCAATTTTCCTAATCTATAGACAGTAGATGTAATTCCTGTCTATGTCCTCCTGCCTCCATTTTCTCCTTACAATGTCATCCTTATTCTAATGTCTATGTTCTCCTCTTCATTTTATCCTTATTCAATTTTCCTCAAACTATAGACACAGTAGATGTAATTTCTGTCTATGTCCTCCTGCCTCCATTTTCTTATCCTTTATTCTAATAATATTCTCTTCTCAATTTCCTAATCTATAGACAGTGATGTAATTCCTGTCTATGTCCTCCACCTCCAATCCTTAAATGTCATTCTTTTCTCTCAATGTTTCCTAATCTATAGACAGTAAATAATTTGTCCTATGTCTATGTCCCTTATCCTTATTCTGTCTCTACTCTCATTTTTCTTTATCCTTATTCTAATGTCATTCTCTACTCTCAATTTTTCCTAATCTATAGACAGTAGATGTAATTCCTGTCTATGTTCCCCTGCCTCCATTTTCTTATCCTTATTCTAATGGAATTCTCTACTCTCAATTTTCAAAATCTAGACAGTAGATGTAATTCCTATCTATATCCTCCTGCCTCCATTTTTCTTATCCTTATTCTAATGTCATTCTCTGCTCTCAATTTTCCAAATCTATAGACAGTAGATGTCCATCTGCCTCCATTTTTATCCTGTTCTATGTTACCATTTTGCAAATCTATCCATTTTCTTATCCTCCCTCATTCTAATGCCATTTCTCAATGTTCTCTCAAGACGGTAATCTATAGACTGTAGATGTAATTCCTGTCTATGCTCTCCTGCCTCCATTTTCTTATCCTTATTCTAATGTCATTCTCTACTCTCAAATTTTCTAAATCTATAGACAGTAGACTTAATTCCAAGTCTATGTCCTCCTGCCTCCATTTTCTTATCCTTATTCTAATGTCATTCTCTACTCTCAATTTTCCTAATCTAATAGACAGTAGATGTAATTTCCTGTCTATGTCCTCCTACCTCATTTTCTTATCCTTATTCTAATGTCATTCTCTTCTTGAATTTTCCAAATCTATAGACTGTAGATGTAATTCCTGTCTGTCCTCCTCCTCCATTTCCTCCATTTCTCTATCCTTAATCTATAGACAGTAATAATTCCTGTCTATTCTCTTCTCTAAATTTTCCTAATCTATAGACAGTAGATGTAATTCCTGTCATGTCATCCTCCTGCCTCCATTTTCTCATCCCTATTCTAATGTCATTCATTTTCTTATCGTTCTAATCATTTCTGTAATCTAGAGACAGTAGATGTAATTCCCTGTCTATGTCCTCCTGCCTCCATTTTCTTATCCTTATTCTAATGTCATTGTCTCTCAATTTTTCCTACTCTATAGACAGTAGATATAATTCCTGTCTATGTCCTCCTGCCTCCATTTTCTTATCCTTATTCTAATGTCATTCTCTCTTTCAATTTTTCCAAATCTGAACTGTAGATGTAATTCCTGTCTATGTCCTCCTGCCTCCATTTCTTATCCTTATTCTGTGTCATTTCTCTCTTAATTTTCCAATCTATAGACAGTAGATGTAATTCCTGTCTATGTCCTCCTGCCTCCATTTTCTTATCCCTATTCTAATGTCATTCTCTACTCTCATCAGCCCTAATCTATAGACAGTAGATGTAATTCCTGTCTATATTCTCCTGCCTCCATTTTCTTATCCTTATTCTAATGTCATTCTCTATATTTCAATTTTCCTAATCTATAGACAGTAGATGTAAAATTCCTGTCTATGTCCTCCTGTTCCATTTTCTTATCCTTATTCTAATGTCATTCTCTACTCTCAATTTTCCTAATCTATAGACAGTAGATGTAATTCCTGTCTATGTCCTCCTGCTCCATTTTCTTATCCTTATTCTAATGTATTCTCTCTCAATTTTCCTAATCTATAGACAGTAGATGTCATTTCTGTCTATGTCCTCCTACCTCCATTTTCTTATCCTTATTCTAATATTTCTCTTCTCTCAATTTTCCTAATCTATAGACAGTAGATGTAATCCTGTCTATGTCCTCCCTGCCTCCATTTCTTATCCTTATTCTAATGTTCTCTTCTCTCAATTTTCGTAATCTATGGACAGTAGATGTAATTCCTGTCTATGTCTCCTGCTCCATTTTTTCTTATCCCATTCTACGTCATTCTCTACTCTCAATTTCCTAATTCATAGACAGTAGATGTGTATTCCTGTCCATGTCCTCCTGCCTCCATTTTCTTATCCTTGTTCTATAGTATTCTCATCTCTCAATTTTCCTAATCTATAGACCAGTAGATATAAGTCCTGTCTATAGTCCCTCCTGCCTCCATTTCTCTCTTATCCTTATTCTAATGTCATTCTCATCTCTCAATTTCCTAATCCCTTAATCTATAGACAGTAGATGTAATTCCTGTCTGTCCTCCTACCCCTCCATTTTTCTTATCCTTATTCTAATGTGTTCTCTACTCTCAATTTCCCTAATCTATAGACAGTAGATGTAATTCCTGTCTATGTCCCTCCTCCTTCCATTTTCTTTATCCTTATTCTAATGTCATTTCTCACTCAATTTTCCTAATCATAGGACAGTAGATGTGCTTCTGCCCATGCCCCTCCCCTGCCTCCATTTCTTATCCTTATTCTAATGTATTCTCTTCTCTCAATTTTTCCCCAATTTATAGACAGTAGATGTAATTCCTGTTCATGTCCCTCCTGCCTCCATTTTTCTCATCCCTATTCTAATGTCATTCTCTGCTTTTCAATTTTTCCTAATCTTACAGACAGTAGATGTGTTCCTGTCTTATGTCCCTCCTGCCTCCATTTTCTTATCATCCTTATTCTGTGTCATTCTCTTCCTCAATGTTCCTAATCTAGAGATTGCAGATATAACTCCTGTCTATGTCCTTCCCTGTCATCCCCATTACCTTCTACTCCATTTTCTTTTAATCCTAGACAGTATTGTAATTCACCCAGTCCTATTCCTCTTCTTATCCCCTAATGTCATTCTCACTTTCTAATCTATAGACAGTAGATGTAATTCCTGTCTGTCCTCCTGCCTCCATTTTTCTTATCATCTTATTCTAATGTCATTCTCTACTCTCAATTTACTGTAATCTATAGACAGTAGATGTAATTCCCGTCTATGTCCACTTTGCCTCCATTTTCTTTATCCTTATTCTAATGTCATTCTCTACTCTAAATTTTCCTAATCTATAGACAGTAGATGTAATTCCTGTCTATGTCCTCCCTGACTCCATTTCTTATCCCTATTCTAATAATATTCTTACTCTCAATTTTCTAATTTATAGACAGTAGATGTAATTCCTGTCTATGTCTTCCTGCCTCCATTTTCTTATCCTTATTCTAATGTCATTCTCTGCTTTCAATGTTTTTCCTAATCTATAGACAGTAGATGTAATCTATGTCTATGTCCTCCTGCCTCCATTTTCTCATCCCTATTCCAGTATTCTTTATTTTCCAATCTATAGACAGTAGATGTAATTCTGGCTCATGTCCTCCTGCCTCCATTTCTTATCCTTATTCTTTTTTTCCTAATCTATAGACAGTAGATAATCCCTGTCATATCCTCCGATCTCCTCCATTTTTCTTATCCTTATTCTAATGTCATTCTGTCTCTCAATTTTCTAATCTATAGACTGTAGATGTAATTCCAAATCTATGTCTTCAGATTCTCCATTTTCTTCATTTTTGAAATTTCTAATGTCATTCTCACTCTCAATTTTCCTAATCTATAGACAGTAGATGTACTTCCTGTCTATGTCCTTATTCTAATATTTCTCTTCTCAATTTTCCTAATCTATAGACAGTAGATGTAATTCTGTCTATGTCCACCTGCCTCCATTTCTTATCCTTATTCTATGTCATTCTCATCTCTCAATTTTTCCCTAATCTAGATGTAGATTAATTCCTGTCTATGTCCTCCTGCCTCCATTTTCTTATCCTTATTCTATCGTCATTCTCTACTCTCAATTTTCCTTAATCTATAGACAGTAGATGTAATTCCGTCTACCTCCTGGTCTATTCTAATCCTCCTGTTCCATTTTCCCAATCTATAGACAGTTATTCTAATCCGTCTATGTCCCTCCCCTGCCTCCATTTTTTATCATCCTTAAACTAATGTAGACTCTCACAGCTCATCTATAGACTGTCTATGTCTATGTCCTCCTCCGCCTCCATTTTCTTATCCTTATTCTAATAATATTTCTCACTCCTCAATTCTTTCCAAATCTATGACAGTAGATAAAATTCCTGTCTATGTCCACCTGCCTCCATTTTCTTGTATCCCTATTCTAATGTCATCTTTACTCCCCAATTTTTCCCAATCTATAGACAGCAGATGTAATTCCTCCATGTCCTCCTGCCCATTTTTTTATCCCCATTCTAATGTCATTCTTTACCTCAATTTTCAAAAATCTATAGACAGTAGATAAAATTCCTGTCTATATACTCCTGCTCCATTTTCTTTTATCCTTATTCTAATCTTCATTCTCTACACTCACTTCTCCAAATCTATAGACAGTAGATTTAATTCTGTCCATGTCCACCTGCCTCCATTTTCTTATCCTTATTCCCAATGTCATTCTCACTCTCAATGTTCCTAATCCTAATCTATAGACAAAAAAGTAGATGTAATTCCTGTCTATGTCCTCCTGCCTCTATTTTCTTTTATCCTTATTCTAATGTCATCTTCACACCTCAATTTTTCCAAATCTATAGACAGTAGATGTAATTCTGTCTATGTCCCTCCTGCCTCCATTTTCTTATCCTATTCTAATGTCATTCTCTACTCTCTCAATGTAATCTATAGACAGTAGATGTATCTGTCTATGTCCTCCTCCTTGCTCTAATCTTATTCTAGATGTCATTCTCACACCAATTTTCTGAATCTATAGACATTAGATGTAATTCCTGTCCATTTTCTTATCCTTATTCTAATGTCATTCTCAACTCTGAATTTTTCCAAATCTATAGACAGATGTAATTCTGGCCCATGTCCTCCTCCTGCCTCCATTTTCATCCTTATTCTAATGTCATTATTCACTGGTCACCTTTCCTAATCTATAGACAGATTCCTGGGGATGTCCCCTCCTGTCTCCATTGTCTTATCCTTATTCTCCATTTTCTTTTCCCTATTATAGATAGATGTAATTCTGTCTTTGTCCCTCTACTCTCAATTCTTTCCTAATCTAGAGACAGTAGATGTAATTCCTGTCTATGTCCCCTGCCTCCATTTTCTTCTTATCCTTATTCTAATGTCATTCTCTACTTCACTCTTTCTTAATAGACAGACAGTAGATAATTCCCGTCTATGTCCTCCTGCTCCATTTTCTCATCCCTATTCTAATGTCATTCTCACTTTCAATTTTCCTAATCTATAGACAGTAGATAATTCTTCTGTCTATGTTCTCCGGCCTCCATTTTCTCATCCCTATTCTAATGTCATTCTCTACTCTCAATTTTCCTAATCTATAGACAGTAGATGTAATTCCTGTCTATGTCCTCCTGCCTCCATTTTCTTATCCTTATTCTAATGTCATTCTCTACTCTCAATGTTCCTAATCTATAGACAGTAGATGTAATTCCTGTCTATGTCCTCCTGCCTCCATTTTCTTATCCTTATTCTAATGTCATTCTCTACTCTCAATGTTCCTAATCTATAGACAGTAGATGTCCTCCCTGCCTCCATTTTCTTATCCTTGTCTATGTCCTCCTTTTCCAAAACTATAGACATTTTGCTTATCCTTATTCTAATGATCTAATTCATTCTCTACTCAATTTTCCAAATCTATAGACTGTAGATGTAATTTCTGTCTATGTCCTCCTGCCTCCATTTTCTCATCCTTATTCTAATGTCATTCTCTACCTCAATTTTTCCTAATCTAAAGACAGTAGATGTAATTCCTGTCTATGTCCTCCTGCCTCCATTTTCTTATCCTTATTCTAATGTCATTCTCTACCTCAATTTTTCCTAATCCATAGACAGTAGATGTAATTCCTGTCTATGTCCTCCTGCCTCCATTTTCTTATCCTTATTCTAATGTCATTCTCTACTCTCAATTTTCAAAAATCTATAGACAGTAGATAAAATTCCTGTCTATGTCCTCCTGCTCCATTTTCTTATCATCCTTATTCTAATCGTCATTCTCTACTCTCAATTTTCCAAATCTATAGACAGTAGATGTAATTCCTGTCTATGTCCTCCTGCCTCCATTTTCTTATCGTTATTCTAATGTCATTCTCTACTCTCAATTTTCCTAATCTATAGACAGTAGATGTAATTCCTGTCTATGTTCTCCTGCCTCCATTTTCTTATCCTTATTCTAATGTCATTCTCTATAATTTTCCTGTTAGACCTAAATTCCCTCCAAATCTATAGACAGTAGGGTGTAATTCTGTCTTGTCCTCCTGCTCCATTTTCTTATCCCGTTATTTCTATCGTCATTCTCAATGTGAATTTTCCAAATCTATAGACAGTAGATGTAATTCCTGTCTATGTCCTCCTGTCTCTATTTTCTTATCGTTATTCTAACGTCATTCTCAACTCTGAATTTTTCCAAATCTATAGACAGTAGATGTAATTCCTGTCTATGTTCTCCTGCCTCCATTTTCTTATCCTTATTCTAATGTCATTCTCTTACTCCTCAATTTTCCAACCCATAGACAGTAGGTGTAAATCTGTCTATGTCCTCCTGCCTCGATTTTCTTATCGTTATTCTAATGTCATTCTCAACTGTGAATTTTCCAACTCCCATAGACAGTAGATGTACTTCCTGTCTATGTTCTCCTCCTGCTCCATTTTCTTATCCTTATTCTAATGTCATTCTCAACCTGAATTTTTCCAAATAGCAGACAGTAGATGTAATTCCTGTCTATGTCCTCCTGCCTCCATTTTCTTATCCTTATTCTAATGTCATTCTCACTCTCAATTTTCCAAATCTATAGACAGTAGATAATTCCTGTCTATGTCCTCCTGCTCCATTTTCTTATCCTTATTCTAATGTCATTCTCTACTCTCAATGTTCCTAATCTATAGACAGTAGATGTAATTCCTGTCTATGTCCTCCTGCCTCCATTTTCTCATCCCTATTCTAATGTCATTCTCTACTCTCAATGTCCCTAATCTATAGACAGTAGATGTAATTCCTGTCTATGTCCTCCTGCCTCCATTTTCTTATCCTTATTCTAATGTCATTCTCAACTCTCAATTTTTCCTAATCTATAGACAGTAGATGTAATTCCTGTCTATGTCCTCCTGCCTCCATTTCTTATCCATTTATAATGTCATTCTATCTCTTAATATAGACAGTAGATGTAACTGTCTATGTCCTCCTGCCTCCATTTTCAACCTTATTCTAATGTCATTCTCTATAATTTTCCAAATCTATAGACAGTAGATGTAATTCCTATATGTCCTCCTGCCTCCATTTTCTTATCCTTATTCTAATGTCATTCTCTACTCTCAATTTTCCAAATCTATAGACAGTAGATAAAATACCTGTCTATGTCCACCTGCCTCCATTTTCTTATCCTTATTCTAATAATATTCTCTACTCTCAATTTTCCTAATCTATAGACAGTAGATGTAATTCCTGTCTATGTTCTCCTGCCTCCATTTTCTCATCCCTATTCTAATGTCATTCTCTACTCTCAATTTTCCTAATCTATAGACAGTAGATGTAATTCCTGTCTATGTCCTCCTGCCTCCATTATCTTATCCTTATTCTAATAATTCTCTACTCAATGTTTCTACAATCTAGACAGTAGATGAAATTCCCTGTCTAATCCTCCTCCCTCAATTTTTCTCATCCCATTCTAATGACAGTGAATTTTCCCGCTCTATAGACAGTAGATGTAATTTCTGTTCATGTCCTCCTGCCTCCATTTTCTTATCCTTATTCTAATGTCATTCTCACACTCAATTTTCCTAATATAGAGACAGTAGATGTAATTTCTGTCTGTCCTCCTGCCTCCATTTTCTTATCGTTATTCTAATGTCATTCTCTAATCTCAATTTTCCTAATCATAGACAGTAGACAGTAGATGTAATTCCTGTCTATGTCCTCCTGCTCCATTTTTCATCCTTATTCTAATGTCATTCTCTACCTCAATTTTTTCCTAATCTATAGACAGTAGATAAAATTCCTGTCTATGTCCTCCTGCCTCCATTTTCTTATTCTTATTCTAATAATATTCTCTCATTTTCCAAATCTCTAATTCCTGTCTATGTCCTCCTGCCTCCATTTTCTTATCCTTGATCTAATGTCATTCTCTCTGCTCAATTTTCCTAATCTATAGACAGTAGATGTAATTCTTCATCTGTGTCCTGCCTCCATTTTCTTATCCTTATTCTAATGTCATTCTCAACTGTCAATTTTCCTAATCTATAGACAGTAGATGTGATTCCCTGATTATGTCCTCCCTGCCTCCATTTTCTTATCCTTATTCTAATGTCATTCTCTACTCTCAATTTTCCTAATCTATAGACAGTAGATGTAATTCCCTGTCTATGTCCTCCTGCCTCCATTTTCTTATCCTTATTCTAATAATATTCTCTACTCTCAATTATTCCTAATCTATAGACAGTAGATGTAATTCCTGTCTATGTTCTCCCTGCTCCATTTTCTCATCCCTATTCTAATGTCATTCTCTACTCTCAATTTTCCTAATCAATAGACAGTAATTGTCGATGTTCTCCTGCCTCATTATTTATCCTATTCTAATGTCATTCCTACTCTCCAATTTTCCTAATCCATAGACAGTAGGATCTAATTGTTATGTCTCTCCTGCCTCCATTTTCTTTATCCTTGATTCTAATATCATTCTCTACTCTCAATGTTCTAATCTATAGACTGTAGATGTGATTCCTGTCTATGTCCTCCTGCCTCCATTTTCTTATCCTTATTCTAATGTCATTCTCTACTCTCAATTTTCCAAATCTATAGACAGTAGATGAAATTCCTGTCTATGTCCACCTGCATCCATTTTCTTATCCTTATTCTAATAATATTCTCTACTCTCAATTTTCCCAATCCATAGACATTAGATGTAATTCCTGTCTATGTCCTCCTGCCTCCATTTTCTTATCCTTATTCTAATGTCATTTTCTCTACTCTCAATTTTCCTAATCTATAGACAGTAGATAAATTCCTGTTCATGTCCTCCTGCTCCATTTTCTTATCCTTATTCTAATGTCATTCTCTACTCTCAATTTTCCAACTATATAGACAGTAGATAAAATTCCTGTCTATGTCCTCCTCCATCCTTATTCTAATAATATTCTCCACTCTCAATTATCCTTAGAGACATAGATGTAATTCCTGTCTATTTTCAACCTCCATTTTCTCATCCCTATTCTAATGTCATTCTAATTTTCCTAATCTATAGACAGTAGATGTAATTCCTGTCTATGTCCTCCTGCCTCCATTTTCTTATCCTTATTCTAATGTCATTCTCTCTACTCTCAATGTTCCTAAACTATAGACAGTAGATGTAATTCTGTCTATGCCATCCTTCTCCATTTTCTTATCCTTTATTCTAATGTCATCCCTATTTCCAAATCTAGACAATGTAATTCTGTACCTCCAATGTCCCTGATGTAATTTCCTGTGTAATTTCTGTCTATTTTCCTTATCTTATCTTATTCTAATGTCATTCTCTACTCTCAATTTTCCTAATCTATAGACAGACATGTAATTTCTGTCTATGATGCTCCATTTTTTTTATCCTTATTCTATGTCATTCTCAACTCTCAATTTTCCAAATCTATAAAGACAGTAGATGTAATTTCTCTGTCCTCCTATTCCATTTTCCTTATTCTAATGTTATTCTGATAATAACTCTAATTTTCCTAATCTATAGACAGTAGATGTAATTCCTGTCTATGTTCCTCCTGCCTCCATTTTCTTATCCTTATTCTAATGTCATTCTCTTTTTTCAATTTTCCTAATCTATAGACAGTAGATGTAATTCCTGTCTATGTCCTCCTGCCTCCATTTTCTTATCCTTATTCTAATGTCATTCTCTACTCTCATTATCCTAATCTATAGACAGTAGATGTAATTTCTGTCTATCCCCTCCTGCCTCCATTTTCTTATCCCTATTCTAATGTCATTCTCTACTCTGAATTTTCCTAATCTATAGACAGTTGATGTAATTCCTGTCTATGTCCTCCTGCCTCCATTTTCTTATCCTTATTCTAATGTCATTCTCTGCTCTCAATGTTTCTAATCTGTAGACAGTAGATGTAATTCCTGTCTATGTCCTCCTGCCTCCATTTTCTTTAACCTTATTCTAATGTCATTCTCTACTCTCAATTTTCCAAATCTATAGACAGTAGATAAAATACCTGTGTATGTCCTCCATTTTCTTATCCTGCTAA